CAACCAACACCACATCACCAACAGCAATAATACTGACCTCAACACCAAACCACACATAACCAATAGCATCAATACTGACCTCAACACCAACCACACATCACCAAAAGCATCAATACCAACCTCAACACCAATCACACCATCAACAGCATCAATGCTGACCTCAACACCAACCACACATCACTAGCAGCATAAATACTGACCTCAACATCAACTACAATACTGACCTTAACACCAACCATACATCACCCACAGCATCAATACTAACCTCAACACCAAACACACATCACCAAAAACATCAATACTGACCTCAACACCAACCACACATCACCAATACTGAACTCAACACCAATAGAGCCAAGAACCTCAAAACCTACACCATGAAACACAGATCTTACTGCTCTACTTCTGCAGAGTTCTAGACTTCTAGAAAAATTCCTGTTCTATGAGCAGTTCCTAACACCCCTCCCAGATGTCTCACAGTGGAACAGCAGACAGGCGAATGTGATTGGTTCCACCCAACTCAAACAGCAGTCAGCCATGTGAGTGACAGCATCACGACACTAATGACCGCTGCTTTGGGGTCATGTCTGGAGAACATATCAGACACAGCCGAATTAGAATGAGCAGAACACACACACGTCCCAGTGGACCGTAGCAATCTGAGCTGGTACCCCAAAAATGCCTGCCATAGAACATTAAGGTTTAATTGCTACGATACCAGGCATGTCTCTATGGCAACAAAGCCACGGTCTACTGTTCTGCTCTGAATGTGTGCTGATCTGAGTAATCAAGACAGCTGCAGCACTGCTATCAAGGAAACATCTCTGCTTCTGAGCAACCATTCATCCTCAAGAAGCCTCTCCGCCATTCAGCACGGTTCTAGACAGCCTGACTGGAACTGCAGGCTAGCTGAAGATAACCTAACCCGAAATCCAAGCTGTGTTCTAGATAAAAAGATTGTAAATGCCTCCTAACTCAATACAAAATAATGGGGAATTCAGGCTGTGTTCTAGATAATGTGATGATTAATGCAGGATAGCTCAATCCACACTAATGGGAAATCTAGATTGTGTTCTAGATAATGTAATGGTAAATGGCTCCTACCTCAGTACAAACTAATGGGGAATCCAGGCTGCGTTCTAAACAAAGTGATGGTTAATACACAGGCTAACTCTTTACAAAATAATGAGGAATCCAGCCTGTGTTCTAGATAAAGTGATGGCTGTTGCAGGCTAGCTCAATCCACACTAATGGGAAACCCAGGTTGTGTTCTAGATAAAGCAATAGTTAATATGCAGGCTGTCTCAGTACAAACTAATGGGAGATCCAGGATGTGTTCTAGATAAAGTGATGATAAACTCAGGCTAGTTCAATACAAACTAACAGGAGAGCCTGTCTGTGTTCTAGATAAAGAGATGGTTAATGTAGCCCAGCTCAATACAAACTATGGGACTGTGTTCTTCATAAATTGATTGGTAATTAGTTGTAGTTGACTCTACATAATCTAATCAGGAATCCAAGCTGTGTTCTAGATAAGCTGATAGTAAAAGTAAACAGAGGTTAGGTCTAGATAAAATGTAGCTGCAGCATAGTTCGACATAAACTGACAGTAAATGCAGGCTAGATCTAAAAAACTGAAAGCAAATGCAGAGTGGTTCTACGTAAACTAAATATAATTGCAGGCTAACTCAATTCAGAGTGGTTCTAGATAAGGTGATAGTAAACACATGCTAGCTGACTTTAAATTCAGGATGGCTCTAAATACATTTAATAAAATTGTAAATATAAGCTGTGTTCTATATAAGCTAATGGGAGATCCAGACTGTGTTCTAGATAACACTGCACTTCAGTGGAAAGCGTGTATTTGTACTGCAAACTCAACAGTTCATGTTTTCTCTGATGTTCCCTCGTGGGCTGGCGGGAGGTCCAGATGTTCCACACTGCGGCAGATTAACCCTCCGTGTGTGTGTGCTGTGTTGAAGCTCCTCCGCAGGCAGAAACATATCGGAACATAAGCTCCGTCTCTCTCCAAGCATTTCAGAATAATCTGCTCAGATTAACAAACTAATCCTGCGGATTTGTCCCATTTGTCAACGGCGATCATCCGTGCCAGCGTGTGCGGTCAGGACAGCAGGCTGACACCAGAGCTCGGAGAACATGCAGTGTTCTCCTGAAGATCTACAGTTCTGTGTTTTCTAATCCTAAAGCTAAATATAAAGCTAACCTTTAAAACCTGATGGCCTCGACCCAAACGCTGATGTCCATTATCTCCTCAACCCTGACCGCAGCCTTGACCTCTTATTCTGTAAGAGTATGTTTGGCTCTGAGCAATAAAAATCTTTTTCTCCTCGTGGGAACCCGAGTTCAGCGTGCTGCCGTTTTAGAGCCCGTGTGGGAAAAGGAATAAAAACAGCTTTAAATATCTGTCCGACAATCATTTATCAAATACTCGTCAGGTTCCGGTCGGGTTCAGAGTCCTCGCTCGGGTTTCTCTTAGCCCATCGCTCGCCTTTCACAAATTTTTGCCATGAATGGATATCACATGCGAAAGCAAATGCAGAGTGGTTATCATATCAGAATTTTTCACATACAAAAGGCCTGTTATCACATGTGAAAAAGCAAGTTCTCACAAATGAAAAGCATATGATCACATGTGGAAAAGCATGTTATCATAAATGAAGAGTATGGCATCACATGTGGAAAAGCAAGTTATCACGTGGAAAAGCAATTTATCACATGTAGAAAAGCATGTTATCACAAATGAAAAGTGTCATCACATGCAAAAAGACTCATGTGGAAAAGCATGTTATCACATGTAAAAGGCCTGTTATCACATGTGGAAAGCAAGTTATCACAAATGTAAGGTATGTTATCACATGCAAAAGGCCTGTTATCGCATGTAGAAAGGCATGTTATCACAAATGAAAAGCATATGATCACATGTGGAAAAGCATGTTATCACGTGAAAAGTATATCATCACATGTGGAAAAGCGTGTTATCACAAATGAAAAGTATGTCATCACATGCAAAAAGACATCATGTGGAAAAGCATGTTATCACATGTAAAAAGCCTGTTATCACATATGGGAAAGCATGTTATCTCATGCAAAAGGCCTGTTATCACATGTGGAAAAGCATGTTATTGCATCCAATAGGCCTGTTATCACATGTGGAAAAGCGTGTTATCACATGTAAAAGGTCTGTTATCACATATGGAAAAGTGTGTTATCACATGTAAAAGGCCTGTTATCACATGTGGAAAAGCATGTTATCACATGCAAAAGGCCTGTTATCACATATGGGAAAGCATGTTATCACACGCGAAGGGCCTGTTATCACATGTGGTAAAGCGTGTTATCACATGTAAAAGGCCTGTTATCACGCGTGGAAAAGCATGCTATCACATGTAAAAAGGCCTGTTATCACATGTGGAAAAGCATGCTATCACATGCAAAGGCCTGTTATCACACATGGGAAAGCATGTTATCACACGCAAAGGGCTTGTTATCACATGTGGAAAAGTGTGTTATCACATGTAAAAGGCCTGTTATCACATGTGGAAAAGCATGTTTTATGAAAAGTGTGTTCCAGTTAGGTTCAGATTCCTCGGTCAGGTTTCTCTTAGCTTATCGCTCGATTTTGTCCTGCGTTTACCTGCTGAGTTAAAGTGGAATTCAAACCTCATTTCGGGTGTTAGAGAGGGAATCCCTTTCCCACGGGAAAACCACAGGAATTTGGACATGTAAATAATCACATGTGGTTTTTAGAAACTTCAGATGTAAATTTTTTCACACTTTTAAAAAAGATGTGATCAGGTTGTTTATTTAAGGTAGAATAAAGGCAGGAGGATGATTTGTACTCTTGATTTGTTTTATAATGCCGGATGATCCTGCACTCAATAATGACACATTCAGTGTCTGCAACATCTGCTTTATTCCATAGTTGACAGCAAACGTTGGGAAAATTTTGACTAAACTCTCTGCTGACCGCTGCGGTCCACTGCTGCCGATGGTGGCAGAATTTATTGGCCATTGCTCCACTGAAAACAATGGAATATCCAGTTTGCCATCAACTGTCTACCAAAATAATGTAAAAGCAGCTTTAGTCCCGCCCACATAATCTGGGTGAAAAGCATTCTGGTAACAGCATGTTTTACCATAACTGTATCAACAGCTGGTCAGACTGATGTAACTGCTTGTTTTGGTGCAGGAAACAGTCAAGATCAAAGATTTATATTTGACACAATGTTATGCCTTTCATTACTTTTCTTTGCTAAACTTATATTCAAACATGAAAACCTGTGATCAGTAAAAAGTTAAGAAACCATTTCCTGTAGGGGGCGTCTGTAGGCATCGCTACCAGGAGAACATTTAAGAGATGTTAACATTAATTCTGGTGCACTTTGAGACTAAAACACAAGTCGTGTCCAAATACTGTACTCTTTTTTAGGTCTATAAATCAAGGCCGTTCTAAAAAGTTCCCATCATTTGTGTTCTGCTGGCACCATAATGGCCCTTTTGTGCTTGGTCCCTGATTATTACCGCTTGCAATGTAATATGTAGACGGTCGTTTAGCTCTCATAGCAGTTACAGTCCACAGAAATCAACGTGTTCTACATCAACTTCAGATGAAAACTAAATGGAAGCTGTTTTGGTTGCCCATCGTTTTGCTCACCATTTGAAAGCTATTGAAAAAAAAATACATGAAAATGGAAGCAACTTCACCGCTCTTAGTTTTGATTGGCCCATAAATGTGCAATTCTAGACACCCTTTTCCAAAATTAAAAACTTTCAAAATCTACATGATCCATGTGAACGGAATATTCAGCATTCAAAAGGACAAATTTCACAGAAAGGTGAGACATTAGCATGAATGTATATTAAAGCAATAGAACTATATATCTGCGTTAATTCACGGCTGGGAAGATCTATTGCGGCCAAATCACAGCCCTGAAGATGCTCAGGTTCTGTTAAAGCTATAACACTAAAGGTAACCCTACCTTTTCCTTGCTGTCCAACGCGGACGAGTCGGGCCGCGTGCGGATGGTGAACGGCGTGGCCAGGCGTAGCAGAATGTTCTGGAAAGAGCAAGGAATCCTGGGAGAGACAAGCTGGAAGCTGTCGCTGAAACTCAGTGTCCGGTGTGGCTTCCTAAGTCCCCTCCCCCACCTGCCTTAGCCCCTCCCCCACTTGCAGCACCTCCATGCTGGGGCCAATGACCAGGTGGAATGGACACGCCCTGCAGAACGTGCTGAGGCTGATCCGCAGGTCCAAAGGTGAGCGCGACAGCTGTCGCGAGGAAGAGGAGGACGACGAAGATGACAAAGATGTCCTGACCTCTCTTATGCGGAAGGACAGGCAGGCCGGGGGTGTAGAAGTGGGCGGGGATGGAGACGACGAAGGGGTGGAGTCTGCAGACAGTTCTCCATCCTCGTTGGCCACATGGAGCCAGGTGGGGTCGGTTTCCTCCACCTGGACTTCTGATTGGTAAATCCGGCGAGCGGCTGCCCGGATCAGGCCCGGCATGGCCACGCCCACCGTGGGGTCAGGGTTGAAGCAGTGCAGAAGAAGAGTCTTTCCTTTCTCCTTTTCTGTCTTGTCATCATCATCTGTCTCTCCGTGGGTGTCTTTGCACAGAAAGGAGGGCGACTCCGAGGACGCCCTGCAGCCGTACGAGGTCCGGGCGTGCTCCAAAAGGGCGTCAAAGCCATTGAAGAAATCCTGCAGGTTCCCGCCCAGAGAACGCAGAACCCTCTCGTTCTCCTCCAGACACAAGCCGAAAAATTCCTCCCCAAAACGCTCACGCAGGGTAGGAAACCCAACACCTACAGATAAAGAACAATAGAACAATATTAGTATGTTAGGGTTACGTCCAAACAATGTGGTGATAATGTCAGAAATATGTTGGGACAAAGTCAGGACAATGGTAGGACAATGTTAGGACAATATCAGGGCAATATCAGTACAACATCAGTATATCAGTATGTCAGTACAATGTTAGGACAATGTCAGTACACCAGTACAATGTCAGTACAATGTTAGGACAATGTCAGGACAATGTCAGTACATCAGTACATCAATACAATGTTAGGGCAATGTCAGTACAATGTCAGTACATCAGCACAACATCAGTACAATGATAGGACAATGTCAGGACAATGTCAGTACATCAGTATATCAGTATAATGATAGGATAATGTGAGGACAATGTCAATATATCAGTACAATGTCAGCACAATGTTAGAATGATGTCAGTACAACATCAGTACATAAGTATGTCAGTGCAATGTTAGGACAATGTCAGTATAATGTCAGCACATCAGTATGCCAGTACAATGTTAGGACAATGTCAGTACAACGTTAGGACAATGTTGGGACAACGTCAGTACATCAGTACATCAGTACAATGTTAAGGCAATGTCAGTACAATGTCAATACAATGTCAGTACATCAGTAAGTCAGTGTAATGTTAGGACAATGCCAGTATAATGATAGGACAATATCAGTACAATGTCAGTAAATCAGTATGTCAGTACAATGATAGGACAATGTGAGGACAATGTCAGTATATCAGTACAATGTCAGTACAATGATAGGATAATGTGAGGACAATGTCAGTATATCAGTACAATGTCAGCACAATGTTAGAATGATGTCAGTACAATATGAGTATGTCAGTGCTATGTTAGGACAATGTCAGTACACCAGTACAATGTTAAGACAATATCAGGACAATGTCAGTACATCAGTATGTCAGTGCAATGTTAGGACAATGCCAGTATAATGACAGGACAATGCCAGTACGATATCAGTACATCAGTATGTCAGTACAATGATAGGACAATGTATGGAAATGTACATACATCGGTAGAACATCAGTACAATGTCAGTAAAATGTCATGACAATGTCAGTTCATCAGTACAATGTCAGTACAATGTTTTTTTTTGTTTTTTTTTATTTTTACCCCGATTTTCTCCCTCAATTTAGTCGTAGCCAACTCCACCCCGCTGGTTAGGACTCCCCCAATCACACGATGCTATCAACGCTAGGAGGGTGAAAGCTAACACAGGCTTCCTCCGAGACCTGTGAAGCCAGCCACCGCTTTCTTTTCGAGCTGCCGCTCACTGCAACGTCACTGGACAGCTGAACGCACTCGGAGGAAAGCGCCAACCGCCAGATCTGTTACGTCAGCTAACAGACGCCTGCGCTGACTAGCATCGCGCTGAGTGAGTGATGGGGGGAGAAGGGCAGCCATCCCACCCACCCAGAGAGAGTGAGGCCAATTGTGCTCTCTCGGACTCCCGGCTACGGACGGCTGTAGCATCACCAGGGATCAAACTCGCGATCTCCTGATGACAGGGCCAACGCTTAGACGGTTGCGCCACTCGGGAGCCCAATGTCAGTACAATGTTAGGATGATGTCAGTTCGATGTCAGTACATCAGTACAATGTCAGTACAATGTTAGGATGATGTCAGTACGATGTCAGTACATCAGTACAATGTCAGTACAATGTTAGGACAATGTCAGTTCGATGTCAGTGCATCAGTACAATGTTAGTAAAATGTAATGACAATGTCAGTACATCAGTACAATGTCAGTACAATGTTAGGACGATGTCGGTACGATGTCAGTACATCAGTACAATGTCAGTACAATGTTAGGACGACTGTCAGTACGATGTCAGTTCATCAGTAAAATGTCAGTACAATGTTAGGACGATGTCAGTTCGATGTCAGTGCATCAGTACAATGTCAGTAGTCCAACTGCACTGTACAAATGCACAGCTGTTTGGACCACCATGACTATCACAGAAGCTCAATATTCCCATAAAGAATAAAACTGCCTGTTCAGAGCCAAACTGGGCTAAATGATTATTCTTTTGTATTCTGTCAGATGGATTTCTGCTTTATTTCAGGCTGAATTCCTGACTGTGGGACTGTCAATCATTTAAACACTGAAAATCACAGAAAAGCACTGATGCTGTAGAAAACGAGCTGAGCTGAAGATTCACTTCAGCTATAATACCAACATGCACATATACTGACGTGTTTACTCTCCCTCAGACACAGCTGTGGGTGCAGAGCGGAGAACGTCACAGTGTGTTTTACACTAACAGATTAGGTTTTACTGGCTGACCTGCCACTGAACACACACACACACACACACACACACACTCTCTCTCACACACACACACACACACACTCACACACTCAGGTTTGAGCTGATTCCATTTCAGTGTGTTGTAACAGGAGATATTCAGGGAGTTATTTGAAAATCTGATTACAGACGTGTCAGAGAATTAGAATGAGTCGAGTTAGTGTTTATTTCCCGGACTGACTCTACTGAAATCACCGTGACCTCTGACCCCTGCCCCCAGTGTTTCTCTCTGAGCAGAAAACCGCCTCCATTTTCTGAAGGAATGAACATAAAGATAAGGATCTCTGCTTCCTCTGACAGGAGAGGAGCTGACATACTCTGACCAACCAGAGTTCAACTCAACAAAATAAATTACAAATATACGTTCAGGGAAATGGCACAAAGAGGGAAACACACATGGCTGGGGAGCCGTTCAGCCCCTGTAACTCATTTTTCAACAGTTTTCAACACTGAGTCAAAGTAAACACGCAACCAACCTTAAAAAAGTGTTGGCCTGTTATCTGCGGCCCCATTTCTGCCTGAATCAGCGCACCCAAAGTAAAGGGGGCGCTGTTCTCACAGACTTTGCGCTACAGTCGTGATCTCGGTCTCAATTAAAAGGAAACGCTCTCAGTTTATCAGGATAATTGGTATGACTTACTGACTCAGAGGAACAGAGTCTAGAACGGAGGAGTTTCTTTCCTCCTGACTCATAGATCTCTAAACTGATCTCTGACTCTTGCTGTGTTATCAGACCGCATGTTGATGATGGATGATGGTGTTCTCTGTGGAGGCGGCGAGGCTCTGAGGGTGAGGACACAGATTTGCTGGTGTTTGATCTTTCGGTGCTGATGTTGTAAATGAGACGATCGTAACTGCTGTGAATAAGTAAGTAAATAAAAACTGTTTGTGGATATCGAATCCTGAGATTTCAAGCTTTCTAACAGTGTACAGTATCACAGAATTGCTGGATGATTTGATGCATAAAAATTATTTTTAAAAATCCAGAAGTGAAGATTTCAGTGGAAGTGTAGCGATACAGTGATCTACTAAAGGTTAACCACCTCAGGAACAATACTGAAGCGTTTACTGCTATTAAAGCCGACAAACAACTTATTCACAGGTTGTTGTGCTTTATTAAAGGCTGTTGTCAGCCCTAACCACGCCAAACAGAAAGCAATGCTGCAGAACAGTAACAAATTGTTCCCGAATGCAGTAGAACACTAATATAACGTTCCAGAATGCTGTAGAACGCTAATAAAATGCTCCAGAATGCTGCAGAACTCTGATAAAACACTCTAGAATGCTGCAGAATGCTAGTAAAACGCTCCAGAATGCTGTAGAACGCTAATAAAACGTTCCAGAATGCTGCAGAATGCTAAAAACGCTCCAGAATGCTCCAGAACGCTAATAAAACATTCCAGAATACTGCAAAATGTCAATTAAATGCTCCAGAATGCTGCAGAACGCTAATAAAACGTTCCAGAATGCTGTAGAACGCTAAAAAACATTCCAGAATGCTGTAGAACGCTAATAAAATGCTCCAGAATGCTACAGAACTCTGATAAAACACTCTAGAATGCTGCAGAATGCTAGTAAAACGCTCCAGAATGCTGCAGAATGCTAATAAAACGTTCCAGAATGCTGCAGAACGCTAATACAACGTTCCAAAATTTTGCAGAACGCTAATAAAACATTCCAGAATGCTGTAGAACGCTAAGAAAACGTTCCAGAATGCTGTAGAACGCTAATAAAATGCTCCAGAATGCTGCAGAACTCTGATAAAACACTCTAGAATGCTGCAGAATGCTAATGAAACGCTCCAGAATGCTGCAGAACGCTAATAAAATGTTCCAGAATGCTGCAGAACGCTAATACAACGTTCCAACATTTTGCAGAACGCTAATAAAACATTCCAGAATGCTGCAAAATGCTAATTAAATGCTCCAGAATGCTGCAGAACGCTAATAAAACATTCCAGAATGCTGTAGAACGCTAAGAAAACGTTCCAGAATGCTGTAGAACGCTAATAAAATGCTCCAGAATGCTACAGAACTCTGATAAAACACTCTAGAATGCTGCAGAATGCTAGTAAAAACGCTCCAGAATGCTGTAAAACGCTAATAAAACGTTCCAGAATGCTGCAGAACGCTAATACAACGTTCCAAAATTTTGCAGAACACTAATAAAACATTCGAGAATGCTGCAAAATGCTAATTAAACACTCCAGAATGCTGCAGAACGCTAATAAAATGTTCCAGAATGCTGTAGAACGCTAAGAAAATGTTCCAGAATGCTGTAGAACGCTAATAAAATGCTCCAGAATGCTACAGAACTCTGATAAAACACTCTAGAATGCTGAAGAATGCTAGTAAAATGCTCCAGAATGCTGCAGAACGCTAATATAACGTTCTAGAATGCTGCAGAACGCTAATACAACGTTCCAAAATTTTGCAGAACACTAATAAAACATTCCAGAATACTGTAGAACGCTAATAAAACGCTCCAGAATGCTGCTGAACACTAATAAAACACTCTAGAATGCTGCAGAATGCTAGTAAAATGCTCCAGAATGCTGTAGAACGCTAAGAAAACGTTCCAGAATGCTGCAGAACGCTAAAAACGCTCCAGAATGCTCCAGAACGCCAACAAAACATTCCAGAATGCTGCAAAATGCTAATAAAATGCTCCAGAATGCTACAGAACTCTGATAAAACACTCTAGAATGCTGCAGAATGCTAGTGAAACGCTCCAGAATGCTACAGAACTCTGATAAAACACTCTAGAATGCTGCAGAATGCTAGTAAAACGCTCCAGAATGCTGCAGAACGCTAATAAAATGTTCTAGAATGCTGCAGAACGCTAATACAACGTTCCAAAATTTTGCAGAACGCTAATAAAACATTCCAGAATGCTGTAGAACGCTAATAAAACGCTCCAGAATGCTGCTGAACACTAATAAAACGTTCCAAAATGCTGCAAAATGCTAATAAAACACTCCAGAATGCTGTAGAACGCTAATAAAACGCTCCAGAATGCTGCAGAACGCTAATATAACGTTCCAAAATGCTGCAAAAACACATACACACACACACACTCACACACACACACACACTCACACACATACATGCACACATACATGCACACACACACACACAAACACATACACTGTGCGGGGGCTGGTAAATTCCTCAGCTCTCTGGGGTCTAAACTAGAACCTCATATCACCGTTCAGGAGGAACACACAGCACCTTCTAACAGCAGACCAGGCTGCTCCATTCACGAGCTGATCGTCATCATTAGTAAAGCTGTGCTGGTTTCTTAGCAACAGAGAAGAGAGGAGGACGAGTTAACAGTGCTTCATACAGAACGCAAACAGAACATTAATAGAACGCAGCAGAATGTTGACAAAATGCGCCAGTAGAACACCAGAGTGCTGCTGAAAGCTAATAAAACACTCCTGAATGCTGTAAAATGCTAATAAAACACTCTAGAATGCTGTAGAACACTAATAAAACACTCCAGAATGCTGTAGAACGCTAATAAACACTCTTGAATGCTGTAGAAAGATAATAAAACACTCCAGAATGCTGTAGAACCCTAATTAAACACTCCAGAATGCTATAGAAAGCTAATAAAAACACGCTAGAATGCTGTAGAACCCTAATAAAACACTCCAGAATGCTGTAGAACGCTAATAAAAACTCCTGAATGCTGCTGAAAGCTAATACAATACTCTAGAATGCTGTATAACCCTATTACAACACTTCTGAATGCTGCTGAAAGCTAATAAAACACTCTAGAATGCTGCTGAAAGCTAATAAAACACTCTTGAATGCTGTAGAACGCTAATAAACACTCCTGAATGCTGCTGAAAGCTAATAAAACACTCTTGAATGCTGTAGAATGCTAATAAACACTCCTGAATGCTGCTGAAAACTAATAAAACACTCTAGAATGCTGTAGAACCCTAATAAAACACTAGAATGCTGTAGAACACTAATAAAAAGTCCTGAATGCTGCAGAATGCTAATAAAAACTCCTGAATGCTGCTGAAAGCTAATAAAAACTCCTGAATGCTGCTGAAAATTAATAAAACACTCTAGAATGCTGTAGAACCCTAATAAAACACTAGAATGCTGTAGAACGCTAATAAAACACGCTAGAATGCTGCAGAACCCTAATAAAACACTCTAGAATGCTGTAGAATGCTAATAAACACTTCAGAATGCTGCGGAACGCTAATAAAACACGCTAGAATGCTGTAGAACCCTAATAAAACACTTCAGAATGCTGTAGAACGCTAATAAAAACTCCTGAATGCTGCTGAAAGCTAATACAACACTCTAGAATGCTGTAGAACCCTATTACAACACTTCAGAATACAGCTGAAAGCTAATAAAACACTCTTGAATGCTGTAGAATGCTAATAAAAACTCCTTAATGCTGCTGAAAGCTAATAACACACTCTAGAATGCTGTAGAATCCTAATAAAACACTCCAGAATGCTGTTGAAAGCTAATAAACACTCTAGAATGTTGTAGAAAGCTAACAAGAAACTCAGCAATGCTGTACAACGCTAACAAGACACTCCACAATGCTGTAGAACAATAATAAAGCACTCCAGAATGCAGTTCAATGCTAATAAAACAGACAAGAGTGCTGTAGAACGCTAACACAATACAGAAGGTAAGTATAACTTGCTAGCATAACACTGCAGGATGCTAACAAAGTATTGCAGAACGCTAGCAGAGCACTGAAAAACAATAACAGAGCCTGAATTTACAACAGAATGTAAAGATCCATTAATGCCATAAATGACCAGCACTGCTATTTAAACTGAAATGCTTTTATTTTCTCTTCTTTAAGCTGCAGATCTTTTGTTTTTCTAAGATCAGCACGTCCACCTTTTCAGGTGTGAGTGGTCAGTGCTGAGTGTCAAGGTCAGTGCTGTGTGTCGGACTGCAGACACCACAGCTGGTTAACAGAGTTAAATAAGACTTCATGAAACCTGCGGCTGCTGCTGTTTACAATGGAACCCTCTCACATCAATTTTGTATCTATACAAAAACAATTAATCATTCAGCCACATTATAAATAAACATGTGTGAGTGTGTGTGTGTGAGTGTGTGTGTGTGTGTGTGTGTGTGTGTGCATGAGTGTGTGTTTGTGAGTGTGTGTGTGTGTGCATGAGTGTGTGTTTGTGAGTGTGTGTGTGCATGTGAGTGTGTGTGTGTGTGTGTTTGTGTGTGAGTGTGTGTGTGTGCGTGAGTGTGTTTGTGTGTGTGTGTGTTTGTGTGTGTGCATGAGTGTGTGTTTGTGAGTGTGTGTGTGTATGTGTGTGCGTGTTTGTGGGTGTGTGTGTTTGCGAGTGTGTGTGTGTGTTTGCGAGTGTGTGTGTGTGTGTGTGTTTGTGAGTGCGTGTGTGCATGTGCGTGTGTGTGCATGAGTGTGTGTTTGTGAGTGTGTGTGTGTGTTTGTGGGTGTGTGTACGTGTATGTGCGTGCGTGTGTGAGTGTGTGTGCATGTGTGAGTGTGTTTGTGAGTGTGTGTGTGTGCATGTGTTTACGAGTGTGTGTTTGTGTTTGTGTTTGTGAGTGCGTGTGAGTGTGTGCGTGTGTTTACGAGTGTGTGTTTGTGTTTGTGTTTGTGAGTGCGTGTGAGTGTGTGCGTGTGTGTGTTTGTGTGTCAGTGTGCGTGTGAGTGTGCGTGTGTGTGTTTGTGTGTGTGAGTGTGTGTTTGTGAGTGCGTGTGTGTGTGTGTGTGAGTGTGAGTGCGTGTGAGTGTGTTTGTGAGTGTGTGTGTGTGTGTATTTGTGAGTGTGTGCGTGTGTGTATTTGTGAGTGTGAGTGTGTGTTTGTGAGTGTGTGTGTGCGTGTGTGTGTGTTTGTGTGAGTATGTGTGTTTGTGAGTGTGTGTGTGCGTGTGTGCGTGTGTGTGCGTGTGTGTTTGTGTTTGTGAGTGTGTGTGTGTGTGTGTGTGTGTGTGTGTGTGTGTGTGTGTACGTACCCACTATAGCGGCGGTGTACTGCAGTATTCCTGAGATGTCAGTTTGGTCATCGGATTGCGAGTTTACAAACGGACACTTCTCTAACACACACTTCTCCTCAGCGCCGTCCTCACTGCTGATCACACACACACAGAGAGAACATGTGAGGCATGTGAATGGGCGGGGCCAAACTGATAAATGGGTAGATATATGTAAACATGTTGGTTCACGTGACATCACAAAAACAGTGAATTCAAAACAGGCTGTGCAGTTTAGTTATTTAGATGTAGGTCTTTCAAAAGCTACAATTTATAAAAATCTTATTAAAATGACATGATGTGTGTATTTGATATCTTAAATAAGGTGAGTGTTATTAAAGCTTCAATCTCCTGTTTCAGTTATTAAACTGTGTTGCTCCATCTGACTGACTGTTTACGCCACCTGACTTTTCAGACTAATTTCAAATTAAACAGGATTGACTTAGACACCTGTAGAAACCTCTGACCTTTAACTTGAGTTTAGACTTACTTTTTATCAAATAAATAAACATTATTATAATAATTCCACATTTTCATGGCTCTCCTGAGGTCAGAACACCTGACATGCTAAACAGAACCGTTCTAACCGTGACTCAAACATCACGTTTTTACTGAATCTGTGACCTTGGCATTGCACCATGAAGGTCCCTTGGGCTCTTCTTTATGAAGCAATACCCTGGCCCTGCTTTTGTAAAAGCATGTCATAATAAAAGTCCTTTGTTTTTGGTTGTGACATCTGAGGATGCAAGAACTTGCAGCCAAAAGTTTTTCAGTGAGTTGAACTCAAGTTGAAAAAGTATCAGTTGAAAAGGCCTTTGTGTGTGCAGTACCTGATATTCCTGTGTCTGTAGAACTCCACGGTTCTCTGCAGAGCCTGCTGAATTGTCTGTGTCTGAAAGAACAACAAACCCAATCAACACAGCATTAAAGTGAAGAAGAACACTGTGGAAAACATTAACATCGTATGTATGATGCTTTCGCTTCGTGGTTGTCCTTCACTTGGTGGTTATCTTATGCTTGTTGGTTATCTTTCACTTGGTGGTTATCTTTCGCTTCGTGGTTATCTTATACTTGGTGGTTATCTTTCGCTTGGTGGTTGTCTTTCGCTTGGTGGTTATCTTTCGCTTGGTGGTTATCTTTCACTTGGTGGTTATCTTCCGCTTGGTGGTTATCTTTCGCTTGGTGGTTATCTTCCGCTTGGTGGTTATCTTTCACTTGGTGGTCACCTTATGTTTGGTGGTCATCTTTCACTTGGTAGTTAGCTTTCACTTGAGGGGTTATCTTATGCTTGGTGGTTATCTTATGCTTGCTGGGTGTCCTTCGCTTGTTGATTAGGTTTCGCATGGGTGGTTAGCTTTCTCTCTGTAAAGCCACTTTTCCACTGCATGGTACCGGCTCGACTGTACTCTCCTTTTAGGTTCTCCATCAGGTAAACCTGGTACCCACCACTGTTTTTAGTATCAGCTCTGCAAGCCGAGCCGACACCAAAAAGCGATGTGGAAAAACTGCAGACTACTAACTGGTCAGAAAGAATCGTCACTATCACCCTAAACACATATTAGCTACCACATATAACGTACCCTCTAGCTTCCCTTTGAGCAGCCAGAATCGTCTCATCGTCTGAATTGAGTTATTTTAATAAAATAAAAAGTCTCAATCTTTTTATTTTATTTCTTTATTTGACCATTTTCAGATGAAAATTTGGTGTATTTGTAATATTTACACACTGTTTCCATGAGAACGGCCTCGGCTCTGGTTGGTGACTAATTACTCACATACATGTTCATCCGCTATGATCTGTCTCCCCTACACACACACACACACACACACACACGTTTGTGTATATTCTCCAAGGGAGAGACATCAATACAGTTTAAAAGCATATTAACACGCCAGCGACATCTGATTGCTCCCCACAGAGAGACAATAACCGCACTACAGCAGATCCACTGTCAATCAATCAATACCAAGATCAATATCTCACATCAGCGCCGTCTGTGTGCACTGCACTCCCTTCCTCTGAGTGTATGTGGGTCTGTATGCATCTATGTGGGTATTTGAAAGTCTGTTTGAGTTTATGTGAGTATGTGTGTACTTATGTGAGTCTATGTGGATCTATGTGTATCTATAAGGGTCTATGTTTGTCTATATCTGTGTCTGTGGATCTGTATTCATCTGTGTCTGTCTATGTGGGTCTATATATGTGTCTATGTGGGTACTTGTAAGTCGGTGTTGATCTATATGTATCTATACGTGTCTATATGAGTCTACATGAATCAATGTATATATATATATATATAAGGCTCTATGTTGGTCTATATATGTGTCTATGTGGATCTGTATTTATCTGTGTGGGTCGATGTGTGTCTATGTGGATTTATGTATATGTATGTGTGTCTATATGGGTCGATGTGTGTCTATGTGGATTTATGTATATGTATGTGTGTCTATATGGATCTATGTGGATTTGTGTCTGTGTATGTGGGTCTATACAGGTCTATGTGGGTCTATGCAGGTCTATGTGGAAGTATATGGGGCTATATAGGTTTATTTGGGTCTGTGCATGTCTATGTGACTCTTTGTGGATGTATGTGGGTCTGTGTGGATCTATGTGGATCTATGTTTGTCTATGTAGATCTGTGTGGTTGCAGTGAGTTATAACGCTGCTTAGGTTCCACTCTATTACAGCACACACACTTTCTGAAAGAACAGAACACGTAAAACACTGAGTGCATGAAAAGGTCAGAGATCTGATTTAATGCAGAAACATTCAGCCACACACACACACACTCACACACACTCACACACACACTGTGTGGCTCTAACAGAGCCGGTGTGTTTAGAGATAAGCACATAGACAGACGGACAGAGAGACAGAGAGAGAGAGACAGAGAGAGAGAGAGAGAGAGAGAAACAGCGCTGACTCATAAAAATTATATAAAAACGTGTGTGTGTGTGTGTCCAGCGGGGCAGCTGCAGTGTGTTTCACAGTTGGTTAGAGAGCGTCCAGAGATGGTAGAGGTCAGAGATAGAGAGAGAGAGAGAGAGAGAGAGAGAGAGAGAGAGAGACAGAGAAAGAGGCAGACAGAGAGAGAGAGAGAGAGAGAGAGAGAGAGAGAGAGAGAGAGAGAGAAAAAGGCAGACAGAGAGAGAGAGAGAGAGAAAGAGGCAGACACAGAGAGAGAGAGAGAGGGAGAGAGAGAGAGAAAGAGAGCGAGAGAGACAGAGACAGACAGAGAGAGAGAGAGAGAGACAGAGACAAAGAGAGAGAGAGAGAGACAGAGAGAAGATGGTCTGTCCTCATATACAGTCTGTACTCTAAAGCCAGCTTTACTCCTCAGACTGCAGTCAAGCACACGATTGTTGGGGAGCAGCGGTTCTGGGGTCCCCAGTGGGGCATGCAGGGTCCTAAAACCTTTATGCGGCCCCTCAAACAGAAACTGACACAATTTTACACCCACGGCTCGCAGAAACATCCCATTTCTGAGGCTGCGTTTATCATCACAGCTCTGTATCCGTAAAACTGTCAGTTAAAAATCTCACCAGAGCTGACCCTTTGAGGGGAGCGCGCCCATACGTCAGCTTTCTGTATGAGCTTCTACAGCAGCAAAAACAAAGTGGAATGAACTGTGTGCTGCTACTTTCTGTGCATGCCTGAGATAAAAGGCTTCATCAGTTAAAGGAGTGTCTAACGGCGCAACGTACCACTATGGAGACCCTACACTGGGAGAAAACTCGGAAAATATGGGATCATATTCTACAGCCGTGTGTTTTTCTCTGCTGCACTGTGATACAATATGATGCACTACAACAGAATTTCATACGATACGATACACCACGACATATTATGATACAATACAATATGCTGCCATATGATACACTATGATCTAATTTGATACATTACGTTATACAGCGATCCAATACGATGCGCTACAGTACAATTTGATACAGCACCATAGGCTGTGATCAAATACAATACAACTTGATACAATATGAATACACTACGCTACAATACAGTACACCGCAATACAATTTGATAAAATGCGATACACTGATACAATTTTATGTAATACGTTATGCAAATATATCAAATTATATATGTATATATATATATATAGTGTATCATATTATACGGCAGCGTATTGTACTGTATCAAAATATGTCATGCTGTATCGTATCAAATAGTGCATCATATTGCATCACAGTGTATTATATTGTGTCAGATTATTGCATATTTTTCTATAATTTTAGTGGTATAGATGCTTGTAGATGTTTTTTTGTATATATTCTTCTTTTTATATTGTATCACCCTTATTATTACTCATACTGGCTGCTTAATTTCCTTCGGGACAAATAAATTATCTATCAATCTATCTATGCTGCGATAAATACAATATCGTACAATAACCTGAGATGCAATGCGACACGTTTTGATACGATACACTGCAATACAATATGATGCAATGTAATATGCTGCAATACAATGCAATACGCTGTGATACGCCACGATAGTGCAAATGTTGTGAAATGTTGTGAAACAATGCGATACACTGCAAAAGAGTACGATATGGTGCGATACGATATGCTGCAATATGACATGACACAGTTTAATACAACAGAATACTCGCTATACAATACGATACAGTACGACACACCGCGATACAATCCGATAAAATACAATACGATCTGACACAGTTTGATACAATTTGATCCTCTCCGATTCACTTCAATACAACACGACACGCAGCAGTAGAATACGATACAATACAATACACTGTACTGTTACATCCCTAATATTAACACAAATATTAATCTCCCTCTGATTTATAACGCAGCTCATCCACAGGAGGCGCTTTCAGTCAGATCCTTCACAACCTGCTGCATCCTATATTCTATATATTCCTATATCATTTACATCTCTAAAGTCTTCAGTAATGTAAACATTTAGACTTAGCATTAGCTGCTGATGAGTGGAGCGGCCTGGAGAGCAGCAACGTGTTTGAAAAATAATAGTGAGTAAAAAAATTACACACTTTTTTATTAACTGGGTGGGGGGGGCAATACTTACTTACACCCCCTAAACATTATCTGAGTATAAATATACTATTATAGGTGAGTGTAAATATATATATAGTATATATATATATATTATACTGAGTATAAATACACTATTATGAAAGTATCATAGTAAATATATAATATACATATTTGTATAAATATAAATATTCTATTATAAAAATACTGTATAGAAAAGTCTGAAGTTATTTATCTCAGCACTAAGTGTGGTTGTGTTTATGTTTCTCCGCTAGCATCAATATAGATTCATTAAACTCCACCAGCAGCTCCTGATTAACATAATGAAGTATTGATTAGATAAAGCAGATATTGCATGATTAATTACAGTTAATACTGGACTATTAACCTCTATTACATGAGTTACTACTTAAACATGATAAAAATGTTTTAATGTGTTTTTATTACTTAAAATTGCTTAAATAATAGATATATACGAAAAAACATATATATATATATATATATATATGTATATATATATATATTTTTTTCTTTTAAAGGGGGGGGGGTTGGTAAATTGTTGCCATACGGCCTATAGTACCATAAAATCTCATCTTTCTCAAAAAATATACTTTTATTGAAAACAAGACTAAACAAATCCAACCTATACTTAGTGAAAGGTATAACATGGTATTTACACAGTTAAATTAATATAACTGTAATTGTCATTTGGAGTGTATGGTAGTAATAACATCTTAATAAGAGACGTAAGTTACATACAGCTGTAATAAGACATTTTCTTGATCAAAAACAAATTTATTTCCTACTTAGTTTCATTTAATTGTTCTCATTTCACTGATTTATAATATTGTCACTGATTCATAATATTGACTAGAAATTGTGGACCAACATATCATTTGAGTGGGATGTCACAAATCCTTGTGTTACAACCATGATTTCCAGTGACACAATTTATAATCCCGATAATATGTCACAGTTACAAAATGTCTGAAATTACAAAATATGGATAAAAATGATGTTTTTCCCCTTTGACTGTAGTCAAAAGTTGTAAGCTTAGTCTCGGAGTAGCCGGGTGATGTGTAGGTCAACTACAGTCCGAGAGGCTGAACACACTCAGATCACTGCTATATTCACATACAGCCATTTGGCAACAAATTCATTTTACCTTTTACAAAAAAAATATTACATCCAAACTGCTTTATTAATGAAAATTAAATGTTAACTGACTCCAGATAGCATTTTGATTTCTGTCTTGATGGAATTTTGCCTACATATTGAACAAATAGTCAACTTTGGGGGCCCTGAGGTCGTGACCTTCTCAGTGTCAAGTGTCCATGGAAAAAGCGAGGCAAACAGGACTTCCTGGTCATGTCATCAAATATTTGTCCTTTCAGAGTAAAAAACTTTTTTTTTCACAATTAAACAGTAAAACATGGCTTTTATGTTTCTGCCTTTTAGTAAAGTTGAGAAAAAGTAATTGTTGCCATGGCAACACCATGCAATAGAGAGTTAACCATGTATGATACCATAGCACCATCACAAATCAACTAGCAACACCCCCAGTAACCACCTGGGCTACCATAGCAACCACCTTGCAAAACCCTACCAACCACCTGAGATACCATAGCAGCTGCCAAGCAACACCCCAGTAACCACCTGAAATACCATAGCAACCACCTTGCAAAACCCTAACAATCACCTGGGATACCATAGCCACCCCCTAGCATCACCACCAGCAATCACCTGGGATACCATAGCAACCACCTTGCAAAACCCTAACAACCACCTGGGATATCATAGCAGCTGTCTAGCAACACCCCCAGTAACCACCTGGGCTAGCATAGCAACCACCTTGCAAAACCCTAGCAACCACCTGGGGTACCATAGCAGCTGCCAAGCAACACTCCAGTAACCACCTGGAATACCATAGCAACCACCTAGCGCCTGACCACAGCCTCTCTAACAGAAAGCTGACCATGTTAGAATAGTGGAACTCTTTTGGGTGCTATTTAGAACCACTTTTAAAGGGTTCCCTAAAGAACCATATTCAACATTACGATATAATCGTATTCAAGAAGATATCGTAATCATATTGATATCACGATATACAATAACTGATCAAACGCACATCAGATGTGTAGATGCGGCTGATATTTCAGACTATGTGATGATGTATTTATTAATAATGTGTTTATTGATTATACATGTATTGATTATGCATTTATTGACGTGTTTATTGATGATGTATGTATGGATATATTTATTGATAATGTAGACTCTAAAAAAAAGATGGTTCTTCAAGTGTTCTTTTGTAGATACTCTGGTTCTATAGAGAGTCATGAACACTTAAAGAACACTGTGCATGATCAAAGGGTCCTGTGCATTGTAAAAGGGTTCTAAATAGTACCAAAAAGGGTTCTGCTGGTGTTTCAATGTCAAACATGTAACCATAGAAGAACTGTGGTGCTATATTGAAACCCTTTCAAAAAGGTTCTATATAAAACGATCTACAGTACATTCTGTATCAGTCTGAAGAACCATTTCACCATGCAGAGAATCCTTTAATCATGCAATGGGTTCTTTGAGAGTTCATGGCTCTATACAGAACCATTTTCTTTACTAAAGAACCTTTAAAGAACCGTTTTTTTAAGTGTATGTACTGATGATGTGTGTATTGAACTCCACAGTGCAGAATGTGTTCCAATATCGGAGCCTTTATATATTTATATATGTTTATATATATTACACACACACACACACACACACATACACACACACACACACACACACAGATATACACGCACACATACATATGCATGCATACACAGACACACACACACACACACACACACACACGTATATACGTGCACTGCTTCGTTACCGCCGGTGATGTAAGTCTCCTCAGACTCTCCCCCAGCGAGTCCAGGTTCACGCGCCTCCTGCGCCGGGGTGCCGCGCGCGCGGGGCTGCGGCCGTTCCAGAGCGCGAGCGGGCAGTCCGGCCAGTCCGCGCGCTCAGGGCTCTCCACACACTCCGAGCTCGCGGAGCTGAACGACTCGGACGAGACCTTCCGCGCGGACATGCTGCGGGTCACGCGCTCATCTCACGCACGCGGTGGCGGCGGCGGCGGCGTCGGCGGCTCCAGCAGGCGCGCGCCTGGCACTTTTGCTTTGATCTCGCTGTCTGATGTCTGCCGGTCGTCGTCTGTCGTCGCTCGATGTGGTGGCTCGTGCGCTGACCGGTCCTGCATCACGGACGTGCGCGCGGGCTTTCATCCACACGCACGAGGACCGGAGAGAAAGGAGCGGCGCGCGATCCGCTTTAGCAGCAGCAGCGGGAGAGATTGACCCCTCCCACAGAGAGAGAGAGAGAGAGAACTCAGAAAGAGAGAGAGAGAGAAATAGAGAGAACGGCGGGGTGGAGAGAGAGAGAAGAGAGAGAACAGAGAAAGAGAGAAGAGAGAGAGAAAGAAAGAGAGAGAAATAGAGAGAACGGGGGGTGGAGACAGAAAGAGAGAGAGAGAGAGAGAGAGAGAGAGAGAGAGAGGGACTACAGAGAGAGAGAAAAGATGGAGAGAGAGAGAGGGGAGAGCGAGAGAGAGGGAGAACAGAGGGAGAGAGAGAGAGAGAAAAGATGGAGAGAGAGGGGAGAGAGAGAGAGAAGGAGAACAGAGAGAGAGAGAGAGAGAACAGAGAGAGGGAGAGAGAAGAGAGAGAAAGAGAAAGAGAGAAATAGAGAGAAGGGGGGTGGAGAGAGAGAGAGGCTGGATGGGCAGATATTTGTAAGTGTTGGTTTTTGTGACATCACAAAAGGCTGAGTGCGGTTTAGTTTCAGTGTATCTCTCTCTTTAAATCTGAAATGAGGGAGAGAGACTCAGTTTTCTATGATATCTGCTCTTTAATGTCCTTCACAGTCAGCACATTCACACACAGACACACCAAGATTGTCCAGGGGAAGATGGACATCCCTGATCCCTGGATAGAGTGAACACACTGACCTGCATACCCTCTGAAGGTGGTCAACCCTGCTCTGCTCGGCCCTGTCTCAGAGAGAGAGAGAGAGAGAGAGAGAGAGAGAGAGAACATTGAGAGAGAGAGAGAGAGAGAGAGAGAGAGAGAGAGAGAGAGAGAGAGAGTGAGAGAGAGAGAGAGAGAGAGAGAGAGAGAACAGAGAGAGGGAGAGAGAGAGAGAGAGAAAGAGAGAGAGAGAGAGAGAGAGAGAGAGTGGGCAGAGAGAGGTGGTAGTCAGGTCATGTTAGCAGTGTGGGGGTCTGCAGGCTGTGAGAGAAGCCTTTAGGTCACTCTTCCCTCCATCACCTCCTCCCTCCTCCCCCCGCATCCCTCCCCTCCTGACGCTGACCCACTTTCCCTCTGCCTCACTGTACACACACCGCCATAGGAACAGCATGCAGCGCTGGGGATTGTGGGGAGGATGTGTGTTATATATGTATGTGTGTCTAATAAAGTGGCCAGTTAGTGGAAGTAGAAGGTGGGTATTTCTAATAAAGTGGCCAGTTAGTGGAAGTAGAAGGTGGGTGTTTCTAATAAAGTGGCCAGTTAGTGGAAGTAGAAGGTGGGTGTTTCTAATAAAGCGGCCAGTTAGTGGAAGTAGAAGGTGGGTGTTTCTAATAAAGTGGCCAGTTAGTGGAAGTAGAAGGTGGGTGTTTCTAATAAAGTGGCCAGTCAGTGGAAGTAGAAGGTGGGTGTTTCTAATAAAGTGGCCAGTCAGTGGAAGTAGAAGGTGGGTATTTCTAATAAAGTGGCCAGTTAGTGGAAGTAGAAGGTGTGTGTTTCTAATAAAGTGGCCAGTTAATGGAAGTAGAAGGTGGGTGTTTCTAATAAAGCGGCCAGTTAGTGGAAGTAGAAGGTGGGTGTTTCTAATAAAGTGGCCAGTTAGTGGAAGTAGAAGGTGGGTGTTTCTAATAAAGTGGCCAGTCAGTGGAAGTAGAAGGTGGGTGTTTCTAATAAAGTGGCCAGTCAGTGGAAGTAGAAGGTGGGTATTTCTAATAAAGTGGCCAGTTAGTGGAAGTAGAAGGTGTGTGTTTCTAATAAAGTGGCCAGTTAATGGAAGTAGAAGGTGGGTGTTTCTAATAAAGTGGCCAGTCAGTGGAAGTAGAAGGTGGGTATTTCTAATAAAGTGGCCAGTTAGTGGAAGTAGAAGGTGGGTGTTTCTAATAAAGTGGCCAGTCAGTGGAAGTAGAAGGTGGGTGTTTCTAATAAAGCGGCCAGTTAGTGGAAGTAGAAGGTGGGTGTTTCTAATAAAGTGGCCAGTCAGTGGAAGTAGAAGGTGGGTGTTTCTAATAAAGTGGCCAGTTAGTGGAAGCAGAAGGCGGGTGTTTCTAATAAAGTGGCCAGTCAGTGGAAGTAGAAGGTGGGTGTTTCTAATAAAGTGGCCAGTTAGTGGAAGCAGAAGGTGGGTGTTTCTAATAAAGTGGCCAGTTAGTGGAAGTAGAAGGTGGGTGTTTCTAATAATGTGGCCAGTCAGAGGAAGTAGAAGGTGGGTGTTTCTAATAAAGTGGCCAGTTAGTGGAAGCAGAAGGTGGGTGTTTCTAATAAAGTGGCCAGTTTGTGAAAGTAGAAGGTCGGTGTTCCTAATAAAGTGGCCAGTTAGTGGAAATAGAAGGTGGGTGTTTCTAATAAAGTGGCCAGTTAGTGGAAGTAGAAGGCGGGTGTTTCTAATAAAGTGGCCAGTTAGTGGAAGTAGAAGGTGGGTGTTTCTAATAAAGTGGCCAGTCAGTGGAAGTAGAAGGTGGGTGTTTCTAATAAAGTGGCCAGTCAGTGCAAGTAGAAGGTGGGTGTTTCTAATAAAGCGGCCAGTCAGTGGAAGCAGAAGGTGTGTGTTTTTAATAAAGTGGCCAGTTAGTGGAAGCAGAAGGTAGGTGTTTCTAATAAAGTGGCCAGTTAGTGGAAGCAGAAGGTGGGTGTTTCTAATAAAGTGGCCAGAGAACGTAGAAGGTGGGTGATGAATCTTATCTCCCTGCTAACGTTAGCGATGTTAGCTGTGTAGATCGGTACATTACTGACCGAAACGGCTTTAATTCCCTTCACCATCTGCTTTACTCTGCATGAACTGACCTTTACAGCCACAGGACTCAGGTTACAGGTGGACTAACCGCTCACAGAGAGCAGGATACAAACAGCTTACACTGGATCTGAGGGGTAAAGACGTAGTTAAAGATCTCTTAAAATCGGACTCGTTTATCTATCAGTGGAACTGAATGCGGAACGACGTGCAGTAATGGTTTCTGGATGGATATGTTATTTGTGGTCAGTATGCAGGTGGGTAAACGCTCTTGTGTGAATAGTGTTAATATGTGTCATTTGTAACTAGATTTTATAACGTATTGCTGTAGCGTGTTTAGGGCGTGTTTAGTCTCGTAGGGCATGTTTACTGTGGTACTTTATTTCTGTGGGAATCTTAAAGAGAATATTGGGACTCTCATTCCAAATCCATAGGCATTAATATGGCGTTGGTCCCCCTTTGCAGCTCTAACAGCTTCCACTCTTCTGGGAAGCTTCTACAAGATGTTGGAGAGAGTCTGTGGGAATTTGTGTCCATTGATCCAGAAGAGCATTTGTGAGGTCAGACACTGATGTTGGACGAGAAGGTCTGGATCACAATCTTTGTTCTAGATCATCCCAAAGGTGTGTGATGGGGTTGAGGTCAGGACTCTATGAGGGCCAGTCAAGCTCTTCCACACCAAACTCACCCAGTCAAGACTTTATGGAGCTGCTTTGTGCACTGGGGCTCAGTCATGCTGGAACAGGAAAGGTTCTTCCCCAAACTGTTCCCACAAAGTTGGAAGTGTACAACTGTCCAAAATGTCTTGGCCCTGAAGCATTATGATTTCCCTTCACTGGAACTAAGGGTTCTAGATCAACCCCTGAAAAACAGCCAAACCCAGACTCGTCCATCAGACTGACAGATAGAGAAGCTGATTCGTCACTCCACAGAATACGTTTCCACTGCTCCAGAGTCCAGCGGCGGCGCTTTACACCACTCCATCCGGCGCTTGGCATTGAGTTTGGTGATGTAAGGCTTCATGCAGCTGTTCAGCCATGGAAACGCTGCCATGAAGCTCTCGGCGCAGTTTCTGTGCTGATGTTAAAGCCAGAGGAGGTTTGAACTCTGCAGTTATTGATCAGCAGAGTGTTGGTGTCTTTTATGCTCTATGCTCCTCAGCACTCAAAAATGGTTTATTCAAGTGTGTATTAGTACACTCACTCTGCATCTAAACCGCTGATCCTCCTGAGTCATGGGGGAGCTGGAGCCTATCCCAGCATTCACTGAGAGAAAGACAGGAAACACCCTGGACAGGTCACCAGTCCATCACAGGACAAACACATATCTACACATTAACACTGAGGGATAATTTAGTGTCTCCAATTGTCTTGACTGCAGGTCTTTGGGAGGAAACCAACGCAGACATGGAGACAACATGCAAACTCCTCACAGAGAGGACCCTGGTTACCCGGCCGGGGAACCGAACCCAGACCCTTCTTGCTGTGAGGTGACAGCGCTGCCCACTGTGCCCCACCCCATTAACATACTTCTTTTAAACTGAAAATAAATTAATATGCTTTCAGTTTACTTTTTATATACTTATCAGAGATGAAGTAAACAAACCTATACTTAAGTATACTTGGCTTTTACTGACAAGTACACAGAGAAATTCAAGTATATTTTACTTTTAAAATCACGGGGCTGAATTTACTAAAGTGTTTTTCTTCGAATAATGTCTTAAGCATTACCTTATTTTCTTTTCTTAACTATTTTCTTAAGAGAAATTTGAAGAATGAGTGTTATTCTTGAAAATATTAGGTTATTGCGGGGGGGTTGGGGGTGGGGTGCTGGAGCCTATTCCAGCGGTCACTGGGTGGAATCTTAAGAAAATAATTCATATTATATAATATATAACGATTAAGAATAAAATATTTGAGAACTTTTTTTGTTCAAGAACTGCATTTAAGAAGTTTTTTCTTGAAGTTTTCATGAATCCGGCCTCTGAAGCCCTGCTCTTGTTCACAGAACAGTTGCAGTACAAAAAAAACTGAGATGTAAATTAGATGTGTACTCGAAGTTTAGTACTCTTACACCTAAAGAGTACTTGAAGTACACTTTCATAACTAAAATGTGGGACAATTTAGTACCGAGAAGTACTGAAATACTACATTTACAACTTTACTACTAGTACATTGATATTAATATACTTACTATATAAAGTACACTTTGGAAACACACCGATCAGGCATAACATTATGATCACCTCCTTGTTTCTACGCTCATTGTCCATTTTATCAGACCAGCTGTGTTGCGCTGGTCTGAGTGGATCAGACACAGCAGTGCTGCTGGAGTTTTAAACACCTCAGTGTCACTGCTGGACTGAGAATAGTCCACCAACCAAAAATATCCAGCCAACAGTGTCCTGTGGGCAGCGTCCCGTGACCGCTGATGAAGGACTAGAGGATGACCAACACAAACTGTGCAGCAGCAGATGAGCTATCGTCTCTGACTTTACATCTACAAGGTGGACTGACAAGGTAGGAGTGTCTAATAGAGTGGACAGTGAGTGGACACAGTGTTTAAAAACTCCAGCAGCACTGCTGTGTCTGATCCACTCAGACCAGCACAACACACACTAACACACCACCACCACGTCAGTGTTACTGCAGTGCTGAGAACGATCCACCACCCAAATAGTACCTGCTCTGTGAGGGTCCATGGGGGTCCTGACCACTGAAGAACAGGGTAAAAGGGGGCTAACAAAGTATACAGAGAAACAGATGGACTACAGTCTGTAACTGTAGAACTACAAAGTGCACCTATATAGTAAGTGGAGCTGATAAAATGGACAATGAGCGTAGAAACAAGGATCGGTGTAGATTTGAACTTAAGTTTACTTAATAAAATCAACTCTAAGTTTACTTTTTTTAAGGATTATGTTACCATTCTTCTCACAAAGAGGCTCTTAGTTAGCTAAGCTATCTGCTCACAGAGGGAAAAACAACGTATGACAGAATTTGTTGGAACAAAACCTTGTATCTCCATTTTTGTTGTTTTTCAATTTCTGACATAATCTGAAAATACCTGTTGTCCTTTACATAGTGTTTAAAATTCATGATGAATGGACCAAAAGAAACGGCCCAAAATGACCTGGAAAAAAGTCTGGTTCCACTGACTTACATTAAAAGTAAACTATGTTTTTTTTTCCTCCCGTCCCGACAGCAGCGATATGTGTGTTATATATAGTTAACCGACTGTTCAAGATGTGGAAACAACTTTAATTCTAAAACAAGAGAACCTTCGAGGAGAACGTTCATTATGAATCTTCTCCAGTTTCTCTAATCAGAGATCAATAACACAACATTAATATTCAACTATAATAACATCAGATCCATTTCATCATTACATTCATACAGGCTGAGAGTCATCAAAGAACCCAACTTGTGTTTATTCTCCACATTAAAACAGCATAACAGCAGTAACAGTGTGTGAATCTGCATTACAGGGGAATTCCACCCATTTTTCCAAAATTCCACCTTAACTGAGCATTTAAACCGAGTCATTCAGAGTGGTTTGGTGTTAAACTCTTAAAGACGGTTCTTCAAGGTTTCTTTACTAAGGAAAATGGTTCTATATAGAACCATGAACACTCAGAAACCCTATGCATGAGTAAATCATTCTCTGCTGAAAGGGAATGTGTTGTATATGGTTCTATATAGCACCAAAAAGGGTTCTATTGTTAGGATGTGAAGTTTTACACAATTTCAGAACCCTTTCTGATGCTATACAGAACCATATACAGCACATTCTCCATCAATCTCCAATCAAAGAGAAATAAGTGAGAGATTAAAAAAAGAATATGGAAATAGAACAGAGAAGTACATCTGAAGAACCAATTCACCACGCACAGGGTTCTCTGAGTGCTCATGGTTCTCTAGAACCATTTGCCTTACTGAAGAACCCTTGAAGAACCATCTTTAAGAGTGTACACTCAAATGTCTTTACAGTGGTGGTGACAGAAACCAGGGGTCGCCATGACTACAACACAAATATAGACATTTTATTTACTATCCAGAACCACCAGTGAACCTACACGAGTCTTCTGAGTTTATATGTGGAATGTTAAAGATGGAAAATAGTGGAAAATCTGAAATGATAAGTTTTCTTTGGGGACTATTTTGCCTCACAGCGCCCTGCATGTATCCCTCCACCTTTAAGTTCTCTAAACTATCTCAGTCATCAGGCAGTGAATTCATAACCATTTCATGTAGTAACTTTCTGTGAGGGAGCTTTTAGAGGTGGACGCCTGGTTCCTATCACCACCACTGTGAACAGTTCTGACTTGGTAAGTTTATCTAGGACAGAGAGTTTCACACCAAACCACCCTGAACGACTCTGTTTACATCTCAACCAGTTAATTAAGCAGGAATTTTGAAAAATCTGTGGAGTTCCCCTTCAAAACCCAGTGCTGTGATGTACTTCTAAATGAACCAATCACAGCTCCAGCTAAGAGTCTGAACATGCCCTCGAGGACGCTCATTGGCCGAGTCTAGCTGTCAGTCTTGGTGCAGTCAAATGGTTTCCACCACTGAGAGAACTGCAGCACCTTCTTTCTCTGATCATCAAAGTTCTCCCGGATGGGCTTCCTCCAGCGCCGCGGCTCCAGGTCCAGCATCCCGCCCAGAACCTCCTACAGGACAGCACAGCGGTCAGAACCAGCGGTCAGAACCGCAGTGAGACAGTGAACGAGTGAAGGAGAGACCTTTATATATTTACCTTCCCAAAATAGTGAGGAAA